CTCTGGGAATAACTACATCATTTTTTATATCACTCACTTTGATCACAATATTCATGGCTACAAAAATGAAAAAAATCTATATATATGAATAAAACAATTCAACAAATAATAAAAGGTATATATAAAAATTATTAAAAATTTTTTTATAATATATCATATATATATATATATATATATTATATAAAACATTATACGTAAAACATCCATTTTACTTATTGAGGAATTGATGCTTGTTTAATATTGTACGACTTGTTTCTACCTGATTCCATCAATTGTGAGTGAAGTTGCAGCGATATTCGTCGCAACCACACACTTTCTCACACCTTTTGGTGCAGGCTGGAATATTTGCCTTTGCTGATCTGTAAAAAACATTTAAAAAATCATAAAACATGTATTGATCACTTTGTGATTATGCACAAAATGTCACTCTTTTAGGGCTTTTAAGACAAATCTAAAGACAGGCTGACCTGTAGGCATGGATCCATATAAAGGCAGGATAAGAAGCCCTTCAACAGTTTGGTCATGGACATCATAACGGTAGTCTAAGATCTCAGCCTTCTCAAAGAGCAAATCACAGGCTTTCTCGATTTCAGACTGTCCTGTATAAAACACAAGCACAGAGCTATAAACTAAAGAGGAATATTGGAAATAAAAGTATATTTTTTTTACCACTGAAAATCTGTTGACTACTGTTAAACAAACTAAATCCAGTAAGATTTTTCTGTCAGTAAAAAGTCTCTTATGCTTACCAAGGCTGTATTTATTTGATCAAAATACAGTAAAAACAGTAATGTTGTGAAATATGATTTACAATATAAAATAACTATTTTAATATATTTTAAAATGTAATTTATTCCTGTGATGCAAAGCTGAATTTTCAGCATCATTAATCCAGTCTTCAGTGTCACATGATCCTTCAGAAATCATTCTAATATGCTGATTTGCTGCTCAAGAAACAATTCTTATTATCATCAACGCTGAAAACAGTTGTGCTGCTTAATATTTTTATGGAAACCATGATTAATTTTTTGCAAGAATCTTTGATGTATAGACAATTTAAAATAACAGCATTTACTTGAATTATTTTGTAACATAATACATGTTTTTACTGTCACTTTTGATCATATAATATGCCTGTGCTGAATAAAAGTATTAATTTCTTTTAAAAAAAATCTTGCTGACCCCAAACATTTCAACAGTGGTGTACTCCACTGAACTTACCAGTCAGGAAGACCAAAATATCACCGGCTGCTTCATTTGTGTGCACATCTAAGGTCACCTTTACCACCTATGGATAACAAACAGAACATATCTACTGTCTGTGAACAGTCTTAGAGGTTTCAAACATGTTTCCCTGCAAACAGACTATTTGTAGTAAAGTTTGTAATAATGTATATTGTCACAACACACCTCTTTGACGTAGACAGAACTATCTTTGTCTTTTGGGCCAATAAGATTACAGAATTTCTCCTCGACCGGATATGTACGCCCAGGAATCGTGAATACAGGACAGTTCTCATAAAAAGAGCTGAGCTTTTCTGTTTCTAATGTTGCTGACATCACAACCACTTTGAAGGGGGTTTCACGACTATGGGACCTTTTTGACAGAGTTTTCTTGAGTAACCCAAGCAAAACATCCTGCAAAACAAACAATTTTATTAAAGATTTAGTGAAATATCTGCATACAAAAAAAATAAAAAGTACCACAGTATTACCTAGGTGTTTTTAGAGCTGGGAAAATAAATCGATGCATCGCGAATCGAGAAATGATTCCGCATCGATTCTGAGATTTTCCGAATGCATCACGATTCTTTCTCGAGTCGATTCTGAGAGTAGTTTTGAAACACAAGCGCTCTTCTTCATGAGCACTTGAGTGTGCGGATAAAAACTAGAGTAGAGCGCCATCTGCTGTTAAAATCTAAGCTAAGAATCGATTCCAGAGAGAATCGCGATGCATTCAGAAGAATCGATTCTGCATCGATTTATCGTCACAGCCCTAGTTTGGACATTGTTTATGTTAATACCATAGTATTATTTTAAGTACATTGGATTACCATGTTATTATTACCATCTGATACCATCACTTTAACAAGGAACAACTGCAGTGCTATTTTGTACAAGGAAACTACAATCAATATTTATTTATATATATAAAAAAAATTATAACATCTTTCAAAAATTTCACTAATTTCCCAAGTAAAACCACAAATTGCAAATATATAGTCCACATACTGTATTCAGGCTCCTCTCATGTGCTTCATCCAGGATCACAATGCTGTACTGTGATAAACTGCAGTCTGCAAGAATCTCCCTCAGCATACAGCCATCTGTCATGTATTTAATCATAGTTTCCTGATATGAGAGAAAAAAAGCCGTTAACAATGACACTAACTAATTACACTAAAAGCATAATTTTGGCAGAGGCTACTTGCACAAACCCAGACCATGTACCTTTAAAAATACAAATAGTATATATGTATTCACTTTCAAAAAACTTTTATCACTATTTGCAGCTTTTACCACAATAGCAAAGATGCCATTTCTCTCTAACTTAAATAGCATCTACCTTTTTGCTGCTCCCTAAAAATCACTAAATGTGTAAATCTAAAGAAAAAGTTCCCTTTTTTTATTGTGACATGATTTTATTTGCATTTATCCCATAATGCAAAACAATTTAATTCTCAGTGCTACAATAAGAAAAATATATTATATATATTATATATTTTTATGCATTGTGGTAATATTTGTTGTACTGCCTTGAAATTATGCAAACTTTAGTGTCAATAACAACAATATATGGTCCTATATGAAATATGATGATGATATTACACTACCATTCAAATGTTTGGGGTAAGTAAGATTCTTTTAATGTTATTTACACTCAAGTCAACAAGGATCACAAAATACTGTAAAACAGTAATAGTGTGAACAATATAACTAACTAAATGTAATTTATTCCTGTGACGGCAAAGCTGAATTTTCAGCAGCCATTACTTCTTCAGTGTCAGTTCAGTTCAGATCTTCAGTGTCACATAATCCTTCAGAAATCTGATATTCTGAACTCTAATATATTGATTTGCAGCTCAAGAAACATTTCTGTTTTTCTGTTCAACATTCTGTTGAAAGCATGATACGTTTTTTCAGGACCCTTGATGTATAGAAAGTTCAAAAGAACAGCATTTATTTCAAATAATTTTTTTTGTAAAATTATAACTTATAAATGACACTTTTGATCCATTTTAAGCATCCTTGCTGAATAAAAGCATACATTTCTTTCAACAAATCGTACTAACCCCAAACTTCTGAACGGTAGTGTATATTATTGAAATTTCTGCATAGAATATTCCAAAACTTCAGAAAAAAAGGTACAAAAGCTGTCTCTGGAGTGGTACCTTTTCGGAACGTACTAATATATAACATTTAGGTAGTAATATGCATATTTTAGGTAGTAATATGTACATTTTAGGTAGTAATATGTACTTGTAAGGTACTTATAGGCACCCTTTAGAGGTAAAAAAAAGTACAAAAGTGTAACTTTTAAAAAGGTACTGCCCCAGTTACAGCTTTTGTACCTTTTTTCTGAGAGTGTAGACACAAATGTTGAAGTGTTAAATAAGAGTGTAATCTCGTACCTTTGTTGAGCAGTCATCGAAGCGCACTTGGTATCCCACCTCCTCACCCAGCCGGACCCCCATCTCATGGGACACCCTCTGGGCAACAGTGATGGCTGCAACCCTCCTGGGCTGAGTCACACCAATCCTGCCATTCCTGCAAAGACCTGAAGAAACACAAACACACACACACACACACACACACACACACACACACACACACACGCTGCAGAAGAGGAATAGATCCGACACACAGGAAATGAACGTGCCTGTCAATTGCTGTTCATTAGTGGTCATGTTCATACATACCTGCTTTAAACAAGTACTGAGGCAGTTGAGTGGTCTTTCCGCTGCCAGTTTCACCCGTTACGATCAAGAAGGTGTTTTCCTTCACTGCCTGAATGAGTTTGTCTTTGTGCTGATAGATAGGCAGCTTTCTTGATTCATTGTGCTCTGTTTTTCTGCTCTTCTCTGATTTTGACATGTCTATGACCGTTCTGTGCCGTTTATCACTTCCTAACGTTGCTCAACTGTATTTTTCACCTCTTGCGATTTCTTAAAGCTCAGCAGAATATTAATAAGTCATAATCACACGTTATCTGGCGCAGAAGACCTTATTTCATGTTTACAAGTTGTTAGTTGGATGGTTTCCATTAGCGTTTGAACTCGTCTCTTCTTACGCACAGCTCGCCAAAACACATTAGCGCCACCTGCAGCAGTGGATGACATATGACTGCTGCGTTCACTGTATGCTTTCAATGGTGTTCACAGTAGCAGCTGTTGTGTAAAAATGTGTATTCCGGTTGGAGTGCATCATATTATATATGTTCAAAATAAATACAATGAAGTATCAAATTAATTAAAACATGCAGCACTTCATAACCAGATAGTTCTGTAGGCTACTTCCTGTAAACAAATGCTAATTAGGCTACCAGATGTACATTTGGACAAGTTAAAATCATTTTGATTTAAAAGAGAGAATTTTTATGACTAATTATGTTCAGAAAACGAGTGACCTCCAGATCAAAATATCAAACAATGTATTTGCTAATTTCTGAAAACTATGTCAACTTTGACAAACTGAAAGTTATCACCAGTATGTTTGCTGACCAACTAATATTAAAATGTATCAGCTGCTGTTTGTAATATGTAAAACAAAGGAGGCAGAAGGATAATAATAATTCTGAAGCATAAAATTTTCATTCAATGTTTTGTGCATGTCACTTAACAAACAGATTTTTTTAATGAAATGAATTATTCACATGAATCATTGTTAAACATCAGAATTCATTGAGATGTTGAATTGTTTATAATGAAAAATGATGTAATGCAGACTGAAACATGTATTATGGATTCTGTGGAACTGAATTCTGTCGTCACAGTCTCACTTCAGTCTCCATATATTGGATTTTTAAACTGATAATCTGTCGGAGAAATGAAAGAAAACAATATAATTACACTTTTAGCTACAGTAATTGGTCTGAAAAATGCCATGTAATAAACCTTCATTCATATACAAAATAAATGACATTTAATTCAGAACAATGAAAAGTAATTACTTTTTAGTTTTTTCCGTTTTTTGCCAGCATTTACTGGAATGGAGAGCTCCGCCTGGTTGACTGAAATATTTCAAACAGATGTTCGGATTATTTCCATTCTTAGCACATACAGTTAATCTGTTTTTTTCAAGCACAAATATTGTCTTACCGTAGTATGGTTTTGCATCCGAAGGATGACTTCTTGTTGGCTCGGGAACGGCTCTGAAGGCTGTTTTTTTTATTTTTTTTCAAAATTAGATTTGCATAATTTATCATGTAAAGTAATATAATAAATCAAAAACAAAAAATGATGATTCACCTCTCTGAGGATGTTGCCCCAGCTGCACAGCAGAACTTTGATTTGGAGCATGTATGTCATTTTCTAGATATGAAAAAAAAAAACATTTATAATTTTACACAAAATCATAGTGAAAAAAATAATAATGTTGTGTTCACACAATGAAAATAGTCAAAATACATCATTCATACCATAAACAGTTGTAGGGCCCCTCCTCACACCTTCAGAAATAAGATCAACAGACAAATAAAATGTTTATTCTGAGGTAATCTAATCAATAATACCAATAATAACATCCTATATTCTTTGACCAGAAAAATTTTGGTCTGTTGAAATTCCAAAATGGAATGCATAGTGCATATGAAACCAGGAACAATGTATCATATATTGACATGATTCACTTGTCCTTAGTCCCTCCCTGTTCTATTCTAATCGATGTCTGAAACTTTGTATTAGGAACACTTCTTGTGTTTATTTTGCCTGTTTATAATGAATTGCTTTTTGTATTCCTCATTTGTAAGTCGCTTTGGATAAAAGCGTCTGCTAAATGAATAAATGTAATTGAAAAAAATTTAATTCAGCATTTATTTGAAATAATAAAAAAAAAATAATAATAATAATAATAAACTTGTGTAATGATATGAACGTCTTTATTGCCACTTTTGATCAATTTTATGCAAATAAAAGTAGTGATTTCTTTCTTTTTGTTATTTTTTAATCTTACACTGACACTGAATACTGGAATAATGGCTAATGAAAATTCAGCTTTGCCATGAATAAAGGACATTTCAAAATATTTTAAATATAATACAAGTAAACACTTATAATATAAGTAATAATATTTATAATTATATTTTACAATATTACAGTTTTTACTGTATTCTTGATCAAATAAATGCAATTTTTTCCCCCAAGAAAACAATATGCATATTTGGTTTTTATTTCTTATTGTTAAAACACATTTTCTAACCTTTTTTTCTCTCTCTCAAATGTTCCAAGCAGCCTTGGATTAATATTTTGTATGAAGTGCAATGACATGCATTGATTTTTAAGTGTATCTTGTGTGTTTTTCAAGACCATATGCTGGTAAGTAAAGCATTTAAGAGATGTTTCTTACCCCTCTTGTTTTTGTTTCTATGTTCAATATTCTGTGTTTCTTGCGGGGAATTACTACCTAAAAATGATTTTCATAGATGTCAAGAAACTCCAGAGAATGTTTCTTGACATCAAGCACTTATCAGGTGTGTTATACTGCTCACCTTCACTCTGTAATTCATTAACTGGATTCGATTTGGATGATGTATTTACACACTTTCCTGTCCATGAGAAGAGAATCAAAAAAAAAAAAAAGAACAATTTACAAAAAAAAAAACATTTATTTGAGTAAATACATAAATTATTAGTTTTATTTATTTTATATAATAAATATAAAAATTCTGTTCAAATGATACTATCTAAAAAAAAGTGTAAAGAAACGATGCTCACCACAGAATTTTGATAACAGGCTGAATGCAATAAAAAGGAGAATAAACAATCCAGCTCCAGCTGCAAAGTAGAACCAGGGGTTTGGCTCACTGATTCCTACAAAGAAAATTACAATTATAATGTACAGTTATAATGTAACCGTTTCAAAATCATACAGTTTTGATTAATAACCATGGAATAAATGTAATTGAAAAAAATTTAATTCAGCATTTATTTGAAATAATAAAAATAAAAAAATAATAATAATAATAAACTTGTGTAATGATATGAACGTCTTTATTGCCACTTTTGATCAATTTTATGCAAATAAAAGTAGTGATTTCTTTCTTTTTGTTATTTTTTAATCTTACACTGACACTGAATACTGGAATAATGGCTAATGAAAATTCAGCTTTGCCATGAATAAAGGACATTTCAAAATATTTTAAATATAATACAAGTAAACACTTATAATATAAGTAATAATATTTATAATTATATTTTACAATATTACAGTTTTTACTGTATTCTTGATCAAATAAATGCAATTTTTTCCCCCAAGAAAACAATATGCATATTTGGTTTTTATTTCTTATTGTTAAAACACATTTTCTAACCTTTTTTTCTCTCTCTCAAATGTTCCAAGCAGCCTTGGATTAATATTTTGTATGAAGTGCAATGACATGCATTGATTTTTAAGTGTATCTTGTGTGTTTTTCAAGACCATATGCTGGTAAGTAAAGCATTTAAGAGATGTTTCTTACCCCTCTTGTTTTTGTTTCTATGTTCAATATTCTGTGTTTCTTGAGGGGAATTACTACCTAAAAATGATTTTCATAGATGTCAAGAAACTCCAGAGAATGTTTCTTGACATCAAGCACTTATCAGGTGTGTTATACTGCTCACCTTCACTCTGTAATTCATTAACTGGATTCGATTTGGATGATGTATTTACACACTTTCCTGTCCATGAGAAGAGAATCAAAAAAAAAAAAAAGAACAATTTACAAAAAAAAAAACATTTATTTGAGTAAATACATAAATTATTAGTTTTATTTATTTTATATAATAAATATAAAAATTCTGTTCAAATGATACTATCTAAAAAAAAGTGTAAAGAAACGATGCTCACCACAGAATTTTGATAACAGGCTGAATGCAATAAAAAGGAGAATAAACAATCCAGCTCCAGCTGCAAAGTAGAACCAGGGGTTTGGCTCACTGATTCCTACAAAGAAAATTACAATTATAATGTACAGTTATAATGTAACCGTTTCAAAATCATACAGTTTTGATTAATAACCATGGTGTCTGCTAAATGTACATGTATATACAATTGTCATTGTAGATATTAATGTCTGTACATGCACTTAAATACTAAATACAAAATAAAAATTGTCTTCAAAATGTTTTTGAATATCTCCAAAGTTATTGCTTGGCATGTTGTCACACTACATAGGTTAAGTTGTCAAATTGGAACATGCTTTTAAACTGCATATTTCTGTGAATTAGAACATATAATTGTTAAACACAAAAAGTCATGCATCTGCGAGAATGTAAAAGGTAATAAAATAATGAAACCGTTGTTTTGTTAAATATATTGTATACATTTATTTTAACATTTACCTGAATGCATGCTAGTGCAGTTATATATCGTACTAATGACAATAAGACCCCTGATCTTACTGTATGGACTACGTTCAATGATCTTCACCCTCCAGCATTCACTGTTCAGCTGACATAAGTAGGTATCAATGTCTGAAGACTGCAGATCATGGATGAGGATAGAGAAGTTTCCATGTTTAGAAAGAAGGGGAAAAACATTCACTCGTCCTTCACTAGGACTTCCAAAGATGATTTTGCCATCAGTCATGATCGTTACAAGTCTGTTATTAGTGGGATAGTGGCTCCAATTCACTGTCAATGTTCCATTATAATGGCTTATATTAAAGTGACATGGGAGAAAGACTTCAGATTTCAGAGAGGCGTTGACGGTGACACCTATACATCTTGTATTCCAGCGGTCCAGAGCTTAAATTGACGGGCATAAAAAATGTATTAATACTATTATAAATAGGTCAAAATTATCACAGTTTATTTTGTCCCCAATATCATATAAACTATATTATAATTGACAATAAATACTGGTATTTTGAACCTACCATTTGAAGACACCAAAGCACCAAAAAATATCCAAAGACGTGAAATGTACATGATGCATGACACTCAAGATGTCAAAGTTGCAAGACCAAGAGTGTAGGCTGATGACCTTCACATGTTATTTCCTGTAAACACACACTCACAGCCTCTTACATGTGGCGGCCTGGGGCTGGGATTTCACAGCGTATAGTGACTCGTCATTTAGCTGCCTGGGACTGACATATGATTCTCTACTGTCAGATAAGTGATGCAGCTATGACCAAACAGTGAAAAATGTGATATGTGATGCATTTGATAACATTAAAGGCTGAGGGTAGATAGATTTTCATTTGCATTGGTGTGTTTTGAGGTTGTAGAGTCAAATGCTGGGCTACTTACCTCAGTTCAAGCAACAGGTTTCCATTTTTACCACATCCTGTAGCAAAGTCAATGTGAGATCACCTCAGATTATTATATGCATGCGATTGTTATAAAACTAGTGAGTACAGTATTGCCAAAAATTATTCTTGTCCAACTCACTCACAAAACATTTAATTAGGCTGTCATACAGTTTCTTCGCTTGACAGATCCAACATATTGTTGGATAAATAAGCAATCTCTGCCTTAATTTGCATATTTTGCAAAGTTATTGCAAAAAAGTAGGTTATTCACTGAAAATCAATTTCTTGATTGTAAAAAATGACATTTACTTACTGTTACATCAAACATGCAAATTTATTTGACTGAAAAGAAGATTTTGTTCCGGCCAAAGCAGCAGGTTTTCCCCTTTTCTGAGGTTGTATGTAACCAATACCTTTGCTTACTGCATAGTTTATTTTAAGATCTGCTTGCAACAACCACAACATTAGCATATGTAAGTGTTGAGAATTGCTAACCAGTGTTTCCCCTAAATGGCTTTAAAGGGGTCATATGATGCGATTTCAAGTTTTCCTTTGTCTTTGGAGTGTTACAAGCTGATTGTGCATAGATAAGATCCCTGAAGTTGCAAAGACTAAAGTCTCAAAACCAAAGAGATATTCTTTATCAAAGTTAAGACTCTGCCACGCCCCCCTAAAACGGCTCGTTCTAACACGCCCCCACATATCTACCCCACTATGTGGAAATATTAGCATAATGATGCCGAAATGTGCACGCAAAGAAAGAAGGCATGGTGTCAGTAACCGCAGTTAGTGTTGAAGCAACCATGTCAGGGAGACGCTGTGTGTTTAAGTGCGAAAGCAAAAGCACTTTATTTGGATCACTTACAACAGAACAGCAATGCATTTTATGGACGACCGTTTCGTGAACCTAGGAGAGAAGGTAATTCTGACTTTGCTATGACAATCTGGCGCTTCTGAATCAGCTACTGTAAGTATGTTTTGTTATTAGTTTAAGTATTTGCTATTGACTGTTCAAATGCGGAGTTTTACGCATCGTGTGTGTGTGTGTGTGCGCGCACGCGCGTGTGTGTGTGAGAGAGAGAGACAGGGTCACAGTGGAGTCAGCTGTCTTAACCGTGGCTTGTGTACTGCAAACACATACCAGCTTCATCACTGTGTCTGTCACGCGACTCTGTTCCCCTTTCGGGCTCTGTCTTTACATTTATTTTGAAAGATGAAGCTCGCGATTATGGTAAGGGGCGTTACATTTCCGACGAGTGCTTGCGGTGTTCGGCCAATCACAATGCACTGGGTCAGCTGGCCAATCAGAGCAGACTGCGCTTGTCAGAAGGAGGGACTTTGTAGAAAACGAAGCGTTTGAGAGAGGCGGGGCATAGAGGACCTACAATAATGTACAGTATTTGAAAAATAATGTGTTTTTTGAACATTAAAGCATGTCAACATATTCTGTTACACCAAATACACAAAATAATGATCTTTAAAAAAGCATCATATGACCCCTTTAAAGTAACACTGGAGGTTCACTCTCAGAAAGAAAGGTACAAAAGCTGTCACTTGGGCGGTACCTTTTCAAAAGGTACACCTTTGTACCTAAAGGGTTCATACTGGTCACTTAAAGATTCATATTAGTACATAAAGTGTACATATTAGTACCTAAAAGGTACAAAAGTGTACCTTTGAAAAGGTACTGCCCCAGTGACAGCTTTTGTAAATTTTTCTTACACTGTTTAAATCATAATTTATTAGCTTTTTCTTATCATGTAGCTTCCCAGGTAGCCAAAACGGTTTGGCCCGATAATGGCCCAGATCCGGCAAGCCGGAAGAAATAACTCATTGTTTGGTTGCCAGACTCTGCATGGACATGGGATGAATGACGCCCCAGAATCGGCCCAAATACACTGGCCCGAGTCCGGCTGCCAAAACTGCCGGCATTGGGCCACAATCACGCCGACACGAATTGAAACACTTAGCTGGTACTGGCCCGAGTCTGGGTACTAAAACTGAGTCAACACCACCTGCATTGGGCCACAATCACACCAACCAAAATGGTACACTTAGTCAGTATTGGCCCGAGTCTGGGTACTGAAACTGAGCCAACACTGGGTCACAATCATGACGACACCTAGCCAGTACTAGTCTTGTTCGCTAAATTAAAAAAAACAAAACATATATATATATTAATGCTGGGCAACAATGGAAATTTTTTAAAATCGCGATTAATCACATGATTGTCTGTGATTAATCGCGATTAATCACATTATGCTCAAAGTTTCAATAATGCATTCAAAGTAGTGTATTGTGCACTTTTCCCATTTAAAAGTACTGCTATATGAACAAAAGTGCAATAACATTTGGTTTGCAAACACTTTAAACAAATAAGGTGCTTTTTTTACAGCAGTATTCCTTTTACATAGTAGCAGTTAAAATATTTCTTGTAAATCTCAACTTATAACATTAATGTAATCAAATTAAATATAAAACAAGCTATTTGCCACTGCCAGTGCATTAACTTTTTATAGAAAAGATTTTATAGTTTGTCATAGAAAAACAAGTTATGCTCAGAGTCTAGAGCCTCCATCATAAAATTATAACTGGCACCTTGAGACCTGCACTATCGCGGGACCTAACGCAGCAGAGTGCGGCTCGGGACACTTGGGCGAGTGCGGGTGGGGGCGGGTAGACACTCGTGTGTGTGGGATGCGGGAGAGAAGTTCCTTTGCAACCTTGCAGACTATTACACACAGGGGCGTAATTTCCACTGGGGACAGGGGAGACAGCACCCCCCCTTACCACCGCTGCCCTGTATCTTGGTCTTTCATTGGCTGTAGCTCATCGCCGATGTAGTTTTCAGTCAGAAACCATTGCACACAGCGAGATTGTGAATCGCCGACAGCTCTAGATATTTAGCATGCCAAATATTTCGCGGGCGTCTGCGACGTGTCGGCGATTCCCTCAGATTGCGTCTTTGATAATTCACACTGTATGATTGTCACTCGCGTGAACGAGCACCGATTTGCCTCCGATTTTGGGCATTTGTCGGCGATTTCGCAAAACCTGTCGGCGAGTGAAAAATCGGGTTAAAATCGTGCAGCGTGAACTCGGCATTACTGAATGAACAAATGACTCGATGACTTACGCATTAAGACAGTGGCTTACCGCCACCTACTGGCGCTTTTTTTATTTAAAATATTATTAATATTGTATTTATAAAGATAAAAAATGCACTGGAAAGTCCATTTAGGGGGCAAACATTGTCCTTTAATGGAAAAGGTGCAGTCTAATGCCGAGTTCACACTGCATGATTTTAGCCCGATTTTTCATTCGCTGACA